GCCAAAACATCTTTATGACATCATTAGGTGGCCAAAATCTGAACAGCTCATTTTCAGACAGGTTTTTATAGAAATGGATCAAAAAGAGAGAGAATCTTTGTTCCTGAAACTTTCAGAGTCTCTTTCCACAGAGGGGACACATGTTGATGTAGAAGAGACATGAAGAAGAGGGGACACATGTTGATGTAGAAGAGACATGAAGAAGAGGGGACACATGTTGATGTAGAAGAGACATGAAGAAGAGGGGACACATGTTGATGTAGAAGAGACATGAAGAAGAGGGGACACATGTTGATGTAGAAGAGACATGAAGAAGAGGGGACACATGTTGATGTAGAAGAGACATGAAGAAGAGGGGACACATGTTGATGTAGAAGAGACATGAAGAAGAGGGGACACATGTTGATGTAGAAGAGACATGAAGAAGAAGGGACACATGTTGATGTAGAAGATGAACAAGTGGATTTTGCATAATAGGTGACCTTTAATGTCTGGTCACCCAGAACTCCATTCACGTTGTTATTCTTCTTCTATGCCATAGTATGGTACCATCTGTTTTTCCCATACACTTAAAGTCACCAATAACAACAATGTACCATCCTTCCTCCTAGATTAGACTCCCCATGTACAGAAAGGCCCGTTTTAATAAGAGCTAACACTCTCTTTTATGTCATGTCTATGCATTTAAAACATACTTTTAATGCATTCTTAAAGAACTGTATAATATTTTATGAGCTCCCAAGTTAAGAATAGAAAAAAAAGCTTTCGTGCAATGACTTACACAGAAGGTCGAGTATCAAATACTTCTTAATTATCAGTCACTTACTTGTTTTGCAGAGATTTGGGTGTACTATAATTCCCATAGTTCAAGTCCTTAAAACTATAATCCAACTGTGCTTCACACACATTTCTTAACGTGTGAATGACAAGCATTAAGAATAACAAAATATAACTAATTCTCTTGCAGATTGTCTCATTTGATTATGAATGTAACGTTTATATAGGGGAACTACACTGTTAGCAGTAACTTGGTATGCATGTATATAATGCATTTTAGATTATGTTTGTAATACATCATAGACTTGGATAATAGTATTATAATTGCCTAAAGCCATAACAGTTTCAGGGCTGATGCTTATCTGTGTTTTGGAATAATTGTTCTATGTCTTATACTGCGGAAAATAATTAACTATTTATCTAGGTCAAGTTAGAGTTCATTTCATATTGGGTTTGAAAGCAGTAGTTGGACATAACATGCCCGAGGATAACAAAAAACTATGTAGGAAAACAGCAGGGTTAATAAGCGGGACTACTTTTTGCAGTTAGGAGCCTTGACTTCCTGCACCCCTGTCAAAACAAAATGTATTGTTTTCACACTTTGAATGTATATATCGATTAAAAATTGACATGTCAACTAGTGATCTTTAATGCAAAGTTAAGATCTCCTGATTATAACTCTTTTTGCAAGAAAGCAAGAAGACATACTGTATTTCCAGGAACTATTCATTCAAAGGTTTGCAACTTTAACCCTTTAACTGCCAGACCAAGAAAAAAGCTATGGAAAAATTATTTGTTTGCATTTTTTATCAAATGGGCCACAAATAAGCACAAACTATTTATTTTTTTACATTGCCAACTTCCTCACTGGAAGCCATGGAAGCTAGCTTAAGGGCTCTCTGTTCAAACCACAGTGACATCTAGAGGTTGTTTTGTGCATAACATGTCAACCAAAGGGTAAAGCTGGCTGAATCAGATGGAGTTCAACTTTTTTTTTCAACACGATATCAAGACACAAAATGTGCTCTACCAAATGGTGGTGCTGGCAGTTAAAGGGTTAAGTCTAAATAAAAGTTATTTAGCGTCAAAGAGAGTGTTAGCTCTTAGCTAAACGGGCCTTTCTGTACATGGGGAGTCTAACCCTGTGTCTAGGAGGAAGGAGGGTCAATAAAAGCTCTTCAGACCCTCCATGAACAGATCAAACATCCATCGTGTCTCACCTCCGTCCAGGCTCCGGGACAGCAGGTACCTCTTGCTGGCTGAACGCTCAAAGTGTGGAGCGGGCCGGTCTATGAGAGCACTGGCCTGCCTGGTTTGAGCCTGTGTCCTTCCACTGTATCTGAACTTTGAACCCATCACCAAGAAGCCCTTTGGAGGAGGCTCTGGAGACACCAGTCTGTGGAAACAAACACAGTAATATTGCAGTAAGAGCTGGCTCAGGCTTTCCTCAAACCAGCCCCTAGTTATGCTGCTATTGGCTCAGACTTCACCTTTCATCCTTAACCTTTCTATTCCAACTTCTCTTTCTCTATATCTGCGTGCACTCAAGTCCCAAAAATGCATGTTACTAACCCAGGGCGTCATCCCCAGATTGTTGTTGTCTCTCACCTGGTTGGTTACAAATTGTTCCTAATGTTACGTCTGGATCACAATGTCTTGAGCTGATGCTTTTACCTACATACACTCAATACCGACAACGGGAGCAATTGGAGGTTAAGTATCTAGCCTAAGGACACTTCGACATGTTGAATGTAGAGCGTGGGGTCGAACTGTTAACCCCGGATTTTCAGATCAGCCCTCCTGGATCCTTCTACTTTATAATGTTTTCGTATTAATCAGGTTTTCTTTGTTGCAAATGTATGATCTTTTTCATCTATACACATGACATCTATTGCATGTGTGTACGTCCTGGGAGAGGAATCCCTCCTCTGTGGCTCTCCCTGTTAATTGTGGAGTATTGTGGGAGTATTTCCTTGTCTGCTACAGGGTCTAAGGACAGAGGGTGTTGTACAGTATGCCGTACACATTGTAAAGCCCTCTGAGACAAGTTAACAATTTGTGATATCAGGCTATATAAATACAATCTGAATGATTGATTGAGTTTGATTGCGTCCGAAATGTTTAGTTGCGGACCAGATGGCTTCTTACCTGAAGAAGGTGTGATGCTCAATGCAGACCTTCCACAGCCTCTTGGCAGCTCGGTGGTTAGGAAGCTTAAAACCGATTGTACTTTCAAACTGCTCGTACTGGAGAGGAGAGAGAACAGGGACACAGAGAGAGAGGTGAAGAAAGGTGAGTGTTTGCTCTGTTTAGCCGAGGGCAACCTCAGTACACCTCTGTGGACGGAGGTGTATGACAACCTGATACATTCATAAAATATTCAATAAGTGTAGTCTTACATCTTACACCTGCAGAAACGCTGAACCAGATCAATGAGGCTTTCTTTACATTGTACTTGCAAAGATACACAGTGGAGGAACGGATGTACAGTATATCTACTATGTGTATTTTCCTTTCAAGCCACTTTCTACTTCAAATCCACAACATTTCAGAGCTCCCAATGTTCAGAAACTAGGAGAAAATAGCAGGAAAACTGTTCCATGGCTCTATATTTACACTCCTTATCCTTTTATTGTGGTTGCAGCTGCAGCCGCTCTGTTAAAGGAACTCTTTATTTGGCCGGATCACAGGCTCACTGTCACTTGACTGGGTCCGGCCCAGGCCGCCTGTCACACTGAGGCTCAGCGTGGAGGATAAGCTGCTGCACAATGCGGAGGGCCAGGATATAGACCGGCTGTGCAGAGGAGCAAGGCTGGAGGTATAAAGCGGAGGATGTCACGGCCCTCTGCTCAGCAAAACTGGCCGTACATTCACTTCTGAAGTCACTTCGACAGTAACAGATTTGACTCAAAATCTGAGGCTTAAAATCTTTTTCCGAACATGTTTATTTGTCTTTTGCAGAAAATAAGAGGAGACCTTGTATGTTTGTATGATAAATAAGCTGAAGGCAGGAGATGGTTAGCTAAGCTCTGTTTAGAGTGATGTTTTTATATCACTCACTTTCATACATGCACAAAAAGCACATACTATGATGTCATTGGGGTTACATTTTTAGATCAGGCTCTTCGAATTTTAGAGAATACCTTTTGCACACATTTTCTTTCTTAAAGTGGACCTATCATGTTATATTTGAATAATATAGTGTAGGACCATACCTATATAAGGCATATTTATACTTTTTATTTTTCAAAATACCAAACAGATCATGCATTTTAGCCATTCCTCATTTCGCTCAATTTAACACTGTCTTTGCATGGGCTGATTCTGTGAGAACAGCACCATCTACAGGCCTGGCATATGTACTACAGCGTCTCCAGCGCTTTCCAACGGCAATGTCCGTGGCTGTCTCCTCCTGATTGGTGGAGTTGGCCCAATAGCCGTAGCGCCACTTCTGTGACGTCATAGAAGTGTTCAAATCTGGATCAGTCTGTATCAGATCCGTTGCAGCCCCTTTTTAAGAGATTTGGGTATGGAGGAAAATAGAGAGGGTTGTGTTTCCTGACACTTGGTGAGTTCCCTGGAACACCGGGGACACATGTTCATGTAGCAAAGACGTACAAAAGTGCATTTTGCATGATAGGTCACCTTTAAGTAGCACTACTCATGACTGCTCGACAAGCTTCTAATCATCCAATCTGCTTACCTCCCCAGGTCGTATCTTAATGTAGAAGTTGCTCCTCTTGTAGGAGATCTTCAGGATCTTTGGCCAGGCAAAGCGGTTGATCCTCAGCCTATCTCGGTAAATCAGCAGGCCGTTGGCACAGACGCCCAACATTATTTCAATCCCTTCAGAATCCTGCAGCCAACAAGGGGACAGCAAAGAGGCAGACAATATAAAAAATAAAAAAAACACTGTAATCATCCTAGAAATTAAATTAAAATGTGTAACAGCCAACCTTAGCGTGATGGAGGTCCACCCCGTACATCGACAGTTTCTTTGCGTTCTCCAAGAAGTTAATTTCAGCCTCTGCTGGAGTCATCCCCCTGTAGGCAGAACAATGATAATCTTTGTAACAAACATCAACATGCCTTCTTATAATAAACTCATCATAATCTTACACAGCGGGAGCATAATTATCTTGGTAATATGCTTGATATCTTCAATTCTAAATTTCTCCTAACCATCCCCTGAAGCGTTATGCTTGGACATATGCCAGAAAGCAATGCCAAATCAGAGTGGTGAGGACCCTGCAACTGATTTTCGCACTAGCAACACGTGCACTGTGTACATTTCAATGACAGATGGAGCGGCAATGTGACGGCATCCATCAGCCATATGCATAGCGGGGGTGTTTCCACACAACAAAAAACCCATCATCCGATCATATTCCCACAGGTTTGAGGATAGATGAAAGCAATATTGTGTCAAGTACTTGTAGTTATGATGGAGCTCCATCACCCTCTCCTCCAGCTCGCGAGTCTGATTGGGAGCGAAGCGGAAATCGCTGACGTAGTCGGAGCCGTGGTCGTCCTGGTCGTAGTCGCCCAGCTCGGCTTGAACGCTGTAGGAGCCGAGGAGGGCGTGAGTGACGAAGGAGCATGGCAGCCGACCTGACAGCATGTCATCCCTCAGCTGCAGACACAGGTAGTATCTGACAGATGAGACAAAAAGGAGAGGAGGGTGTTGGCAGTCAAACGAGCCCAAAGCAAAGCGAGCTCCAACAAGAACACAGCGTAGTTAATCCAAAGCGGTTTGTAGCATTCCTGGCCTAATCCTCATAAAGGAGAGAGAGATTTGGGTTGCTTTTACACCGGGGCAAATTCACCATGTAAATGTTGCAGTACTTAATGTAAACACTTGAATTTAGGGAAATAAATCATCTTCAAAAGTGACATGTGCAAAGAATAATGTTCGCCTCAGATTAACTCTGAAGAGCACCTGACAGCACAGCCAGAGGAGTTACAACTGTTAGTATTCCAGTGTGTGTGTGTGTGTGTGTGTGTGTGTGTGTGTGTGTGTGTGTGTGTGTGTGTGTGTGTGTGTGTGTGTGTGTGTGTGTGTGTGTGTGTGTGTGGGGGAGAGACGTGTTGTACCTGGTAATATCTTCCGTGAGCTGGGAGGGATCTGGAGGGTAGAACTTGACAGAGAAGGCAAAGTGCCACGGAGAGTCTGAGGAATAAATACAATGACAGCTGAAAAATTAAAAGGGACAGCTTATCCGAAAAGATTAAAATAAAAATCCTCTTATTGAGCGTTGGGGATATCAGCTTTAGAGATGTCTATCTCACATTGACCACCGGTATTAGATGGCACATAGAGTATCTTGTGGTGCTCAAAGACCCCCAAATACATTTGAAAAACTCAAAAGAGAGGTCTCTTTCCTGAAATCAATATTCCAGATAATCCACAGACTTTGTTGTGAGCAGTTTGATGTAAGAAGTATTTACTTTCTACTGAACTACACCCGTCGACAGTATCACTGTAAAGAAGGAATCGTACATAATGAAACGTATAAACTATCCGATGTAAGCTAGCCGACGTAGACTAGCCGTTAGCTTAGAGCAGGGGTGTCAAACTCAAATACACAGTGGGACAAAATTAAAAGAATGGATACTAGTCGAGGGCCGGACTGGTTCAATGTTTATTGCAAAACTTATTGAAATGAACTTATTGCACATTTTAAACCTGGAACTAACAAATCTTAAATGATTGCCTATAAAAACAACATTAAACATTAAATAATCAGTTGCATTCATTTCTTATGGCTCTATCTGCAGCTTTTCCAGAGTCATTTCTTATGATTACATTTTCCCACAGGCCAACAACAGCTTCAACAAAACTATTTCCCTCAAAGAGAAACCAAACATGCCATGTTGTCGTGAGAGAGAAAGTGCAGAAGGAAACATCCATGTAAACTCAGTGTGCTGCTCTGTGATGCTAGTTCAGATACTTGGCATCTCATCTTGGGTGCAAGTTCATCAATGTTTGGGCTCTGCGCTGAAGAGACCCTCAGGATTGAGTGAAGGTGTGCGTGCAATATACCGGCGGGCCAGATCTAATAGTGATTAGAAATTATCCTGCGGGCCGAAATTAAATCCACCAAGGGCCTGATTTGGCCCCCGGGCCTCGAGTTTGACACATGTGGCTTAGGGCACTCTTTCTTCTGCCTTGTGTCATGAATGGTGAGAATCATTTGGTTTAAAGAAAATAGTTCCTACGTTAAACTGCTTACAGCAAGGTGTGTGGATTATCTTGACTAATCAGGTCACAATTTTGGGAAACATTACTATTGAGTCTTTTAAAATGTATTGTTTGGGCGCCTTGAGCGCCACAAGCCATGTACCATCTATATTGGTCTATTCATTCAACACAAATCACACAAAAACAATCTTGATTAATAGCACTACATTTAAGAGTAAGCTTTTTGAATGTTGGGTAAACTCTCCATTTGACTATCTAAGAAAAATTGCACAGCATTTTAATTAGAAGTGAATGATGGATTGAATCCAACAGTTCAACACATCAGTTCATTTGCAAACAAAACTTCACCATAATTAACTTAAAAACATTTATCATCTCAGTTCCTTTTAAAAATACTCACTGTGCATCTGCTTCTTGATCTCCTTAGAGGGGTCCAACCAGTTCTGGGAGACAGAAGGCATAATTCACACAAGGCACAAAGGAAACGGGACTAAAGCACACCCCAGTGTCACAATCTCCTCTAATTGCCATCAGTGTTCCTAATGAAAGCCTTTCCATACGGTTAGATAGAGTAACTGAGCCCCCCCCTACTGAGCAGACTTAACTCCAGCATCTGTTTCTTCATTGTGTTTCTCAATCACTTGCAGCCCTTTACCAATCGGATCAAATTATATCAGATTGTGCAGTGAACCGCTTTCGGCTGTAGGGGCACCATTTCTAAATAGTTTTGCTAGAGCGTCTCCTCCGTGGTGCAGTGTGCACCGACTTGGTCGTTAATCATGCCGTTTAGAGGCAAAGAAACACAGATGGTAATAAAAGTCGGTAATGAAATATCTCCCTCAAGTACTTTTACACCGCTGAAATTGTTTTGAACTGTTTGCAACAGTAAACAATTTGGATGAATTTCTTTTATGATTGATTTGTTTTGGTTGTTGTTGTGTTTTCTCCTTTCAATAGAATATTCTTAAAAATGTAATTCCCAATGAGTTCTGGTCTGTTCTTTATCTCAGTGAAGAGTTTTACATTGAATTGAAACTCTCTACAGGTGCTTGAAGGAATTTAGTACTCCATATTCATCCCATTATTTCACTATTGCTTCTCTCTGATACCTCAAATCTAAAGAAAATCAGGTGGGCGTTGTTCATCGAAGGAGGTTTTTACTCAAAATGTAATTTTTTTGTGAAAATCTTGAATTGATATGAATTATGTCTTAAAAAAACATGAAAAGGTAATGTGAATAAAAAGGGAAATGAAAAAGGAGATCCATTTTAAAAGCAGATAAATGATTTGGACATTAAAACCCCCATAATACACTACTGTAAATACATGTTTTGATTGAGATGAATGTCCTAAATGGCTCTGGTTAGAACCAGAAATCCAAACAAGTTGGTTTCCTTGGACTTTTCTCCATCCGTCGACGATAGAAATCCCAACATTAAATTGTACTCAAACATGTTTCGTAACGATATCAAATCTGTGGGAAAATGTCATTTCTATCCTGCCAGAAAATGTAAACAAATCTATGTGGTAAATCTAAGCCTTGTTTTTCTACTACTAAAAACAACAAAGATATTTCAAAAAGCACCAAAAATAACTCTTATTGCAGATGCTCAATTACACAATAACATGAGCTATTATAATGTTCTACTCCGATCCTTCATCCTGTGATGCTGACGGTGAACTCTGCTAACCTGAAAACCTTACAGAACTTCAAAATCAGTGGCATGAATGCTTAAAATAGCAAAGTGATATCCTGTGGCCATGTTGGTCAATCTGCAAGCATCTGGCAATTTGAACTGTGCCATTATGTATACACACACCGGCACAAATACACATTCTCCTCCGGTGTTTAATCAGGCCGCTAAGGAGCCACGGGCATTTATCGTCCGCCTGAATCTATCTTATATCAGCAGAGGCCAGAGAGCACTCAATTAGCAGGACGCTCTCCGCTGCTTTGCCTTTCTCCGCAGGAAATCAGGGCGAACTTTTAATCAACGACTCTTCAAGGCTTCACTTACGCTTTTCGCAACCACAGTTCATGAAGCAATCACACGGAATAAATGTTCTGCTGATTAAATCCTCGTTCCCCCAACCGAGACAGAGAAAGGGCATCGGAAATGACATTTCAATTCTCAGGCTTGTTTGATCAATCAATCAGAGATGACCCCACACAGCGGGCTCAATCTGCCCTCCGATAAGCCTTTCTTTGAGCAGCCTGTCATATCGTGCTAAGCCGCAGCTTTACCTACCCTCAAGAAGAGCAAAAATATTTGAACTTCAAGCCTGTTTACCTCTTTAAACACCCCGGTTAACCTGTCTGTGTGGGCCGATGCTCCTTCCAAAGCCTCCTCCGTCACATCAAGTCACAACAGGTGAGCTGGCAGAGCTGATAATGGTGACAGAGGATATGCTCCAGATGTTAAAAGGGACTTAGTCTTGTCATTTCTCCTATCTTCAAAAGGCAGCAGGTTCCTCTGTAGCCTTGTTGTGCAACCACAAACCTTCCCTAAGGGAGACTTGTGTCAATCAAAACTCATACATCTGAGAAAGAGCTTTAATACGTGCCGACGGCTAGGACCCATCAGGACAGAGTCATGTAGTTAATTATAAGATAATACGCCTGGTCTGTGCACCCAAACAAGTCACAGAGAAAAAACACACTCATACCTTTTTCTGGAAATGTCAAAATGGTCGTGAGCCGATTGGATTTTAATGAATGTACGCATGTATCAGAAGCAGAGATAATTAAACCTCAGAGGACAGAACCAAATAATTAAAGTGCGTCTGACAAGTTGGGGTCTTTTGGTAAATCACATCAACGCTTTTGCTTAGAGCGAGTTAGTCTGGCTGACCTTAAAGTTGAGACTGTGTAACTTTTGAAAGAACCAAAATCGCCAGTGAATTGATAAGCAGTATAACTAAATCTTGATGAATTCAATAATGAGGTTTTGCTGTCATGTCCCTACTCTGTCTGCTATAGTCTGGCTAGTTGCTTTCTTTACGAGCATTCTTTGCTTTTGTTGTTCTACTACATAGGTTTGCATTAAAACGTGCCTATAGCCATGGATTAGGGAAGTGGTTCTCAAACTGTTTCTGTCATTCCCCACTTTGAACAGGTGGGCCTTTTCAAGCCCCACCTGTTCCTCATCGCTCCAATAAACTGGTAGGCCAAGCTTGAAATTGTCAAATGTATCGTTCTATAACAGGGGTCTCCAACCTTTTTTAGGATGAGGGCTACTTTCAAAAAATAAAACAAGTCGTGAGCTACTTTTACTCCTCTTTTTTAGTTTTTTTGCACTGTATATATTTAGCATATTTGAACATTATTATATGCTTACCTTTAACCTTTGTGTGCTGTTTGGGTCTGTGGGACCCGTTTTCAATGTTTACTAAAAGAAAATGTATGCAATTTAATTATATTAACCTGCTTTATTTGGGGGTGGACCTCACCTCCCTTAGAGGGGTCCGGGGGCATGCACCACCGGGAAGATTTTTTTTTTAATGTTGAAGTGAAATGCCTCAATCTGGTGCACTTTTGGC